GAACAGTATTATACAACTTTTAGAAGGAGGAAATAAAAGAAAATAACAAATCTGATGTGTAAAAAACATATTGATAAAGTAAAAGGTTTAATTCTGTAGTAGGTAATGCTTTAATGTGTTTTTGAAGTGTGTTCTATTATGGGATATTTTAAGGGAGGCTGGGAGTGAGTTCCAATGTTTAACAGATGCAAATTTTAGATTATGCTGAGAAATGGTCAGGTTAACTTTTGGAATTGCAAGATTGCTTTGCAATATTGACCTGGTCGGATAGCTATGAGACAGAGCATCAAAGTAGTGACTCAGATTATTGGCAAAGCGATTATGTTTAAGGTCAAATATAAATAGACAAGTGTGAAGTTTGCAAAGTTTATAAATATCTAGTATGCCGAGTTGATGAAAGATATGTGCAGAAGATGCAAACAAGTCTGAAAATGTGATTAGTCTAACTCAATTATTGATTAGTCTAGTAATTTAAATTCAGACAATGTAATTTATAATGTATTACAATATATTATATTCATTTATTTATTTCCTAATGTTATGTAAATTCTTATTTTTACTATCCCCTTTGCCTTTTTATACTTTTTGTATTCAACTCCTCGGTAGAAAGGTATAAACCCAAGATGATATCACATTTCGATGAAGCCTAATATTTTTAAATTCTCAGCCTCATTACAATCAATTGTGTAATATACAACTACACTTCACAATTTGCTGCATTTTTCTCCATTTTGTCCATCAGTTAATACAGAAATGAACCATTATGATATGAAATTAAATAAAGAGAGAACCCAAGTTCTACAGTGCATGCAACATTTTGAACAATTAGATATGAATAAATTGCAGAGATCGAATCAGCAAATCTGTGTTCATTTTCTATCTTTATTAATCTTAATATTGATTGATTTACAATAAGTACAATTTTCATACTATTAAGTTATGTATAATACATTGTTGGCACAAAATTTGAATGTTCACAGCAAGACAACTGTAGCATTTAAAGTAAAGTTGAAGGGCGGCGATCGTCGTGCCACGTTCTGCTCGATATGGGACTTAAACCGACATATACAATGTGTGTAAAATACACAAAATTCAAACACGCGCTGTGTGACAACCACTGTCCTTTAAACTAAACTTTTGCACCCATTTATTCCTTGTTTTTGTATGATGATTTTTGTTTAATGCTACATGACCATGTTGCATTATGGGTAATCTACAATATACTTACTGCTGGGCATATAAATACATGCAATCACCTTTATAATTAGTGTTCAAAAAAAGTGTTCAATGTCACATGACCATGTTGCATTATGAGTAATCTACAATATACTTACTGCTGGGCATATAAATACATGCAATCACCTTTATAATTAGTGTTCAAAAAAAGTGTTCAATGTCACATGACCATGTTGCATTATGGGTAATCTACAATATACTTACTGCTGGGCATATAAATACATGCAATCACCTTTATAATTAGTGTTCAAAAAAAGTGTTCAATGTCACATGACCATGTTGCATTATGGGTAATCTACAATATACTTACTGCTGGGCATATAAATACATGCAATCACCTTTATAATTAGTGTTCAAAAAAAGTGTTCAATGTCACATGACCATGTTGCATTATTGGTAATCTACAATATACTTACTGCTGGGCATATAAATACATGCAATCACCTTTATAATTAGTGTTCAAAAAAAGTGTTCAATGTCACATGACCATGTTGCATTATTGGTAATCTACAATATACTTACCGCTGGGCATATAAATACATGCAATCACCTTTATAATTAGTGTTCAAAAGAAGTGTTCAATGTTACATGACCATGTTGCATTATTGGTAAACTACAATATACTTACTGCTGGACATATAAATACAATACATGCAATCACCTTTATAATTAGTGTTCAAAAGAAGTGTTCAATGTCACATGACCATGTTGCATTATGGGTAATTTACAATATACTTACCGCTGGGCATATAAATACAATCCCCTTTATTTAGCGTCAGAATGGCGTACTTGACTTGCTGAATTTTTGGATATTTTATCAAATCCACAGCATCCACGTCGATCAAAGAGTATCCACCGAACTCTTCCAAAGAACTTGGTGATAAATATATCAAATCAGTCTAAGACAAAGATATTAATAAGATATTAATAATGATGTAATATTTTAATATTATCACCCCCCCTCCCAACAAAAATTTACATCATAATTGCCCAAGATCATAATAGGCATTTATTGCTTGCTGAAAAAAAATTGTTTCTATGGCAACTGTTTTTTTATTTATTTATTTTTTTAGGATAATTATGAACACGGTCATGTTATGGTTATCTAAGACCATATGTGTTATCATTGTTGCCTATACATTGTATGTGATAGCTTTAACACAGGGACAAATGGTCTGGGGTATGTTATGGTGTTTTGAAACATTAAAAAATGTTTCAAATTCAAAAAACACAGAATAAAATAAGCTGTTCATAGTCCACAAATAGTTAGAAATAAATTTGTGTTAAAAAAAATAAAATAACAATTTCCTGCAGTTTAGGTGTTGTTTGTCACAATATGTCTATTCTATTACTGTACCCATGTGTGGTTATTTAAAACCACTAATACCAGATTAACTCGGTATTATTTAAATGAGGGCTCTTCATGAATTGCACCATGGAATGAAGGAATAGTATTTTTTTAAACAACTAATTATTCTATTGTTTTTCCAGTAAAAAAAGAAACTGAAAAATAATCCAATAAACAACCCTTAAAGCGGGAGGGTTGTCGTCTACGCACGCGTTGGAATTGAGTCCCAAGCGACGATAACAACGCACACTAAAAATGCAAAGGTTCATAGGTAGACACTTGTTTGTGAACAATGACACGCTATGACCATCTGACGCATGCGCAGGTGACGACTCCCCCACTTTAAATATTTAAGTGTAAACTTTTTAATTTGAAGAAATTATGTTCGGCAGCTAAAAAAAAAATGATGACTGATTTTTACCTGATCAGGGTGTACTAGTATCCATTTTTTTGTTCCGTTGAAGACACAATGAATATTCTCATATGGATCCTGATGAACTAATGTTTTGCCGCCACCAGCACTCAAAAATAAATGAACTTCCTGGGGAAAAAATGAAAGAAAGGTGTGGTCATTGCGTTCTAGTGTTGTGTATGCGTTGAACGAGTCACATAGGACATCTCAACACGTTGAGGGACGGTACATAGGACGACAGCATGAATGACAAAAACTATTCTGTTACATTCTGAATATCAGACTCTAGGTCGAATAAAAGAAAGTATAATTTAAAAGGAATCTGATTAAAATGTGATGTAGTTATAAGTTCAAATATGATTATTTTTTGTTTAATATAATAACTCATTTTTTGTTTTACTTGCAGTTTTTCATATATTGTACCTTGCTTGCCTTGACTATCAGTTATATTAGTTAGTACTGTTAACTATTAGTTAAGATGACCAAGTTACCAGTAAAGTAATACTAATAAATAAAGAAAGAAAAATAGGAATAAATGAAATATGGAAATTAAAGTGAATTTGTTTATGGATATTTACAAAACATTTATCCCGAATGATCTTCATTCATCCAAATTTAAAGAAAATGCTTTCATTGGTCATAGAAAAAATCATTTTGTAGAACTCATTGCTCATTACCCATGAGCCTTTGCAGTTTTTCCTCAATCACTGACCGATTCACTGCCATGAATGCAAAAGATAGATTCCAACTTCACACTTTATAACATACTGTACTGAACTGAGTAAGGAATAAATAAAACACCAGTAATTTGTTGTATTCAAGATGAAATTGGCACACTGAGATTATTTTACACAACTTTATAGTGATGGGAATATTATGCATGATGATATGAATATGCGAGAACAGTGGAAAAATGTTATCCAATTAGAGCTAAAGTCATTACTAACATTCAGATTGAAAAACATTGAAATATTATTGTTAAGCATATATTTTCCACAAAATCATTTGTAACGCATAAAACATTTTTGAAATACATAGTTTGAAAAATAATGATTTTAATGTTAATTATCTGCCCCAAAACTTCACTGTCTGTGTTGTACATGTAGATCATAAAACTTTATAAACAAATGGTAATATTAAGGAACCAATAATTTGTTGACAAAATCACTAATTTTGTGAACTTAATATATTTTTGTTTACATTAGGAAAATTTTCGATATACAGGAAAGTATTAAAGTCAGCTGAGTTTGAAGATCATTTACATTAATTTGGACTTAATTAACATATTAAGTTATTTCAATCCAGAATAACGATACACCAAAAGAAATGCCCCAGTTTCCTATCTACTGTAAAATATTTTTTTTTGCTTGGAATTAATTTTTGATGAAGAAATGATTCAATGAAAATAAAATCCAGCGAATATACCTTTTTTCCTATATTTTACTTTTTACTTTACTTTTCAAAAATCAGTGAAAATAAATTCCATACAAAACACCCAAAATGTCTTTTCAGTGAAAATTAATTCCAGCTAAAATAAATTATTTTACAGTAAGTTCTATGATATTAATGATAAAATATTAATATTAAATAAAACTTTTTCTTTACTCTTGCAGTTTCTAGCTTGATTGTCCTACAGAAAAAATTAAAAAAGCACTATGTGAACTACATTACCTGTATTCCATTGGTAAATGTCCCGCACAACAAACATGGCGGTATTGATACGTCTCTTTCCATTGGTCCGGGCACTTGTGATATTATATAACCATCAATATTCTGATAGTTTTCAATAAAATGTTTGACTGTATCTCGTCCGAGCAGACCACCTTCCCCTGGGGGTATATCTTTGTTTCCCTCATGTCTGGCTTCTAAACGAACTGTTAAATCCCCATACTCATTTATTAAATATTCTTCCGTCCACTCGTGGTATGCCCTGGATTGTTTTGCAGCTCCTCGGAAAACTACCGGTTTTTGTGGTTTTACATAATTCTCATAAAATTTGAGTGAATTTGGAACAGTATCCAATTCGTCAGTGATGACTGATGGGTCTGCGTGTGAGCCGAATGGTTGTAGATGTCCTCTGGGTGTCTTGGTGTCAACCAAACATTGAAAGGAACCAATCAGGACACAGATGGCGAAGAAAGGAAATAAAATCTGGTTCAGGTTCATCATCTCCATGACAAGAACAGATGTCTCTTGAAATTTCTTGAACCTCTTACATGTTGCTTTACATCTAAAAGAATTAACGTTAATTAATGTTACAGCAAGTCTCAGAAGTATTGGGGCAGCCAATTTGCAAACTCGTTAGTGAATTGGCTAACTGCTTGGGTTTTGACTAAATGGTTAGCTATGGAATCTCCCTGGCGCCGGTTTGTGATCGCGTCCACTCTTGGCGAGTCTATATTGCATTAGGGGACATGCAATGTTTTTACGCATCCTCAGGCTGGTACATGTCTGGATTCCCTCGAATGATTTGAGCCCGAAAATGGCCAGTCAGCTGGCGTGAAAATATTATAAATGCAATTAATCTACCGATATTTATTATATGAGGTTAACTAAATAGATAAATTGAGAAACTGTTTCCTACAAATCAGGGAGAAAATAACAAACTTTCACATCCAAACAATCCATTGGGGTAACATTAAGCCAACCGTTGAAAAAATCGACCTCATTCGTCGTTTTTGTGTGGACACGGAAGAGCATAGAACACTTTCCCTGGTATATTTGAAAGCAAAATTGCCATCCAACTGTAAGACCGTTGCCGAATAGCTCCTAAAGTATGAGGATCGTCCCCTACTGTTATATAGATTCTCCTTAAGTGGACGTGATCAGAAGCCGGCGCCAGCGAGATTCGAAAGCCAACCGTTTAATCAAAACCCAAGCAGTTAGCCAATTCACTAGCGAGTTTGCAAATTGGCTGCCCCAATACTTCTGAGACTTGCTGTAATGTTAATTATAGGACTTATTTTTTACCAGGCAGTAACATACCAATAGTATTCAAAACTTATTGGTATTGATTTTTGAATACTTATGAATTCTTATCAATTGCATACATACAGTACGTTTTAGTGACAATTAATATTTTAAGGAACAAATTCCAAAGTACTGATAAGGAAAATGTGTGTTAACAGAATACTCAGAATTTATAAATTCCCCAATAATTTGTACGGTACTTCTAGGCAATATAAGGATATTTCAAGAAAATGATGGTTGTAATAATAATAATAATAACTTTATTGAAATCGTATCCACAATGGGATATTGATACATACAATAAAGGTAATGTGTATAAAAATAATGACAAAGCAAAATTACAGATATAACTAAAACTACTTGAATACATAACAGTTAGAGAAAAGAAGATAATTTATAAAAAAGACATGTACAATATTGGTTGTATGTTAGTGGATTGTTGCCATTTTGGCAGTATTACCAGTATGACGCTACCATAGGTTCTTATGGCAGAGATGTTGTGCAATATCTTAAATTGTAGCCAGGTGACATAAAATCATATATTGTGAAGGATGGGATACTTGTTGTTGCCCTCAATTATTTCAAAAATCTGGGTTTAAAAAAAGTCTCAAAATCTCAAAAAATGCAATTGGAATGGAATTGTTCTAAAAACAGTGTTTTTTGGAAAAAGAACGATATTTCATGGTACCATCATGGGACAATAACTCCATAATTTTACATAATATGAACGTTGTCATGCGATTTATGACCAATTTTCTCAAGAATTATGAGTAGGGTTCTACCTCAAAATTTCCGTCCCACGTTAAAATAGCCCAACCCGTATACATGTATTAACCAGAAGTGATTGGTTTCGCCTCAAAGAATACGTATTTCCGGGTTTTAAAAACAGACAACACAAACACGTGAAGTACTATCAGTAATGTAACACTATTGCAGCATTGATGTATAATGATAGCAGTAACATGTGTCTAGTTACAAACAAAATGTTTTTCAGTATTGTCAGTCAGTTGCAGTACTTGTCCTTGGTGGCGTGGATTGTTTAGTACTACGGTACTTTCATTTCCTACCACGACAAGTCGCCTGAAGTTCGGTCACTAATGGTTGTTGAAGTGAACTGATGTTCCACCAGATTGCTCAACATAGTCTAACCATGAAGCTAAAATGATACATCGCAGACTTTAAATAAATAAGTAAACAAACAAATATAAACAATCGAGCTTACTTGTCACTATCCGCAGTCAGATTGGGGCGTGATATCGTCTTCAATGGGTCTCAATGGTAAACAAATTGTTCGACGTTGATGGCGCGCTTGCCAACCTAGAAGCAACTGAAATCTTTTAGTGGTCTTCGGTTGGCCATTAGAAACTCTGAATAGAGAAAAGGTGGATTTTTGTCTGACAAAATTTGCAGTAAAAATTACAAAAAAACTAATTATATATAAAATCTCGCACATATTTGTTAAAGTAAAGCCAAAATAATTTCCGAGTTTCCTCAAACGTTCCATTCTTCCGTGTGATGGCGCTGCAAATCAAGAGCAGTGGGTCATTGACACGCAGGTCGACGCAAACCATCCAATCTGATATTGACCTGATAGGCATGTACTGAATAGCGCCACCTGTGTTGACACAATGGCAGTGGGCAACAGAACAATATAAAAAGTTAAAATGGTAGATATTAAAACAATAAACAAACTTATCCACACATTTGTAATGGCCCAGACAGTATGGCAAGAAACACTATGATTGGTGATATTGCCAAAGAGGAAATAAATTAATATTTTCTCTCTGTATCCTGTTTTTAGGGTCGAGTGGATTTAACGTTTTCTAGACCCAACTGTGACCGATCCTTGGAAAAAGATATTCCTTTATACCATACAGTCCACACGGCAGCATAAAGTTCCAACAGCAAACACAGTCATTAGAAAACATTGTAGTTTGAACAGTTCAACAATAAACATAAATGACACGAGTGTATGTTACTTGGACGTCATTTCCAAGGTATTATTTATATTGCTGACTTTTATGATGCTGGTGGGTACCCAAAAACTTTTCTTTTCAACGCACAGGGCTAACACAAACACATTTTCTCTATTATCAAGTATTACTTTCATCTCTGCCCGCAGAATGGAAGTCATGTAAATCATATTTAGACCAAAAGTACCAATTGGTATGTTTATTGGGAATAAGTTTGTTCATTTGGGTGGCATTATTATGTGGAGATTATGCTGATTGCTGGTTCTATCAATCGTTATTTGATGTTAGGGACAAGAATTCTATTAACTCCCATTGTCAGTTACATTAGAATCAAAACTTCGAGAATTCCAATGGAAGCTTATTAAAATCATAATATCTTGTATACTAATTCTATGTATTTCCGTATGAGACCTGTGCTCGTTACGTCAATGCTATGTACGTGTTGTAACATTGCCGAAGAAACAGTTTTATGCAAATGTAATTAATACATAAAGTCGTCATGGAATATTACATTTAGAAAATGAGGAATTTCACTTATTATTTCAGCAAAACAGGCAACTCTAGGTGACAATACCTTCTCAAAATTGCTGAACCATATCATATAAATTATTAAACAAACATGTAGCAGAGCAAATTAAAGATTAATCTGTCTACATTCAAAATGTTCTGGGGATGCATGCTATGCCAAACAACTGACGGCCTCTTCATTGTTAACACTATCTGTATGTTTGTTGTAATACAGAAGTGAATCTTATTTGAAGTGATACACGTCTTTGAATGAATAACAACAAAATTCAAGCGCCTTGTGTTCATCAAGTTTGTTCTTAACTATAATTAATTTCGGACAGTTTGTTGGCATGCCCCTGAGGTTGCAATATTTCAATTTATCTGGTGAAAATAAGAATGTGTTCGCTGTGGATGCACTCAGGGCACGAATACAACAAGTTTTCTCTAGCACATTTTCTTTCTGTTATTGACTGCAGTTGCTGCGTAAAAAGGTGTCCCAGTTAATCCATGAAATAACTGTCTTAGTTGCAGGTACAATCATTGCCG